ATTTCGCTTTCTGGGTCAAAACTACTTGAATTTCCTCACTCACGTTGTTACGACTGAATCGAGTTTTCAATTCTCTATCCAACGATGCCAAAACGCATGGTTCTTGAAAAACTTCGAAAAAAGCAGCGTCATGTTCAAGTGGGTTTTGCAACTCAAAAAAAAACAAACTTCTTGAATTCAAGCATTTTTTGAGAAAACTACCAAAAAATTCCAAAATAAGTTTGTAAAAAATGAATCCGCCTAAACAATATAGAACTTATCTAATAAAGAGGTGCTACAGGGAATTGGGAAAGAGAGAGAGAGATTACACTCACAGTTAAAAAGAGGAAACTGGAATACCACGGACACATAATGAGACATCAAAAATATCGCCTAATAGCTCAATAATAGCTCAAGGAAGGATCAACAGTAAAAGAGGACCAGGAAGGAGAAGACACTCTACGCCAGTGGTTTGGACTTACATATATACAGCTATTTAGAAATGCCGTCAATAAAATTAAAATTGCCATGTTGATAGCCAACGTCCGCGACGGATAAGGCACGCTAAGAAGAAGAAAAAGGATCAGTTAGTGATAGAATAGTTGATAGTGATAGTTTATTAGAGGACCTCGGACGCCAATATCTAATATATGAATACCATATTTCTATGATTACGCTTTAACAACAATAAAAACAATAAATCGAAATGACTCTGACGAATATTAATAGGTTCATTATCGGGACTGTATGTGAGGACAATATTTTGTAGATGGCGATTCATTTTGGTAGTGGCAGGTAGGAAAAATCGTGAATGCTGTGACACACTTGGCTTTATTCCTAGTAATAAAGCTCTCGAAACCGTTTCAAATCGAACAACTATTTCTGTGGGGCGAGTAGTGTATTGAACTAGGGGAGATAATGTTATTTTTGCTTACCAATTTAAATATTGAATGAGATCTACTGGATCGCTCATTCATATCTGTAGATCCCACTTTCCTGCTTTTCATTCCCCTTTTCATTAATGTAAATAGCTCTTCCGGGGTTCTAATAATTTCTTCTTTGACAATAACATGAACGCCTTGATTAACGTCTTCTCTGATTTTTAAGTCGGTTACATTTGAATGTAGCAGATCATTAATCTTTTCATTGTATATTTCCAGATAAGAACACCTAAAAATAATGATATTCATCTCAGTACCACTAAAGGATGTTAACAGTTCTACCGTAAAATGAAATTATCAGTTGATTTTTCCTCCATGTGCCCGAAAACATCATCAACAGCTAGACCTATAATGCCTGGCGTGCCTTTATCACCCAGCATTGTATGGGTTTTTCCCGAAGAAGTCTGTCCATAAGCAAATATAGTAGAATTTATTCCTTGTAAACATGATATAACAAGGGGCTTAACAATATCGCGATAAACATCTTGATTTGTTTTGTTCTCCTCAAATATATGATCTATATAACATGAAAATAAATATGAGCATGCAGCAGTATTGAAGAATAAGACAAGCACTTCTTTCAACTTCTTACCAAAGGTATATGACTCTCCAATTAATGTTTCATCCAGGATTTGCACTATAGAGTTCGCCTTCACTTGCCATAAAGGTTTGATATTTGCCGTTTTCTCCCATGATATATATGGTCGTATTCTCACAGCAGTCTGAATATTTGTGGAACCATTCATTTCTCTGCTTTAAACAAATATTTAAAACGAGCCTACAATCAACAAACAAACGAAATTTTATGCCCGCAACAAATTTTATAAACTTAAGTTGCTATTGTAAAGACTACAAATACAGTTTGATCAAATGACCAAACTGTCTTTTCTTTACTTAACTTTCGTTTTATACTGGCTATCTGTATTAATAGTTATTGGTTCTCTTCGGGGCCCTAGTTAATAGTTAATAATGACGAATGATTTGCATTATTCACAATTTGACAACATTTGTAAATTGCAGTTAAGGGCTGATCCTTAAGGTTATACGCTTTAGATATCATAATAACCTAGCGCTATTACAAAAACGACAGAATAAAATACTGAAAATAATTAATATGAATACGCTTATGAAGGAAAATCCATTAACACTAAGACAATTTTTTTATGTAATGTAATGTCTTACCTCTGCAGATTTACAGAACTTGGGTAATTTTCTGGTGATAAATAAATAAATATGTCATTATTTATGTCCCTATGTTTATAAGACGTGGATGGTGGTTTACCTCGCTTTAACGTCTCTTTTGAACAAAGCCTACAGATGGATAGATTTTGTCCGCATAAATGGATCTTTCGCAATAAGATCTTCGAACGAAAAAAATTGGTTGTGTGGCTGTGTTATTTACATTGTATAAAGCCTTAAAGTTGAAGCAGATTCCCAGAAATCCCTGTAAAACATCATTGAAAAAAATACGTGTTCCAAGCAAAACCAAAAATATCCATAATTATGTCTGATTTTCCCAAAATCTCACCAGTCCATTGCAAGCAATAGAGTGTAAAAAGTTTTCAGCATTGCATAGCATATTTGCATCGGCCCAATATTAGTTAATTGCTATTATTTTTGCTCGGAAACTTGGAAAACGTTGAAGTTTGAAGAATAGATCAACGTGCTTCAAATCTGTTTTCAAAACTGGATAAGTTAGCGACAAACAAGGAATTTTTATTGAGAAAGCAGTTTTAAAAAAGAGTTTTTGCGAGGGCCAACGACTTTTTTTCGTTTTGAGCGCAATCCTACAGAGCAATACCTGTTCAAGAGAGATTGGAATTGGGAAAAAAATTATAAGATCCCTCTAAACGAAATTCCTCTCATTCATCCAATTAGTGTTGCTAAGAAAAAAGACCTAAATGCACTATTAGTTATCCTATATGGCCAAAACTGGAAAGAATATGAAAGCTTTTTATAGTACACAAAAATGGTAATTGGCGAAAATGTTCTCACTGTTCCAGAGGAAGAACCAGAGGGTGAGAACGATGAATATTGCTGCTTGGAAGATGACGAGGCCTTCCACATCTTATACAGAACTAATTGTGTCTAGTTTTTGTTGTAAACTTGTTTAACTTTCTGTTGTTGTAAGTACTTAGTTTAGGAAATATATATGTACCAAACATAATTAAACATAACTTTAGTGAACTTACGTGATTTGAGTGAGTGTCTTGAGCAAAACCCCACAAGTTTGAATAGATTGAAAACCCGATATGTCCAAACTTTTAAGGCGATTTATATTAATTCCATAACTATACGATTTAATATCGTGAGCCAGATTTACATTTCAGGCAAATTGGAATTTGTACCATCAAATAGTTTTTATGATGCATTTGTGAATTTTTTCATTTGGCAAACTTGTGAGATTTTGCTTGGCACCTCCTCATTTGTCCATTGATATAGTAAAGTATCCTGATTAGAAACTAATTGGCATTCAATATTGATATTCAGCTAACAGCAACGAAGTTATTTAAATATACTTACACAATATAAAAACATACAAACAGATATAAACTGGATACAAGAACCACAACACTAACAAACAATCAAAACTGCTTCCAATCAAGTTTCTGTTGTCAAATGTCAAAATTTGAAATTTTTAACTGAAATTGGTCCACGAGTATTGTTGCCAAACGTGGCATAGTTTAAGATTGCCTGCTTTGTGATACGTCATTAATTAATATAGGGATGGATTTCCGTAATGGCGAGATCGCAAATATATTGATTTTATTAATCCAAATAATAATTTGAATTATTTAATAGGACATAAAATGGGTGCTCATTGTCTGTTCTGCTGTAACTGAAGGGCTCAGCTAATCTCAAACGCCTGCTCCTACACATCTTAACGTATAACTGATTGCCTGCTACACATGGATAAATTGTGGAAGGCCGCTCGCTAGATGCAAGTTCGTGCAACACGAAGTGAGTCTTTAAATACAACGTTGCCACTTGCCACTTACATTGTAATCCCGCCTGTTAACTGAAAGGATCTAGGTTGATTTGTAACTTTTTGGGTGATAGCAGACAAGATTCCTATAAAATAAATATAATAATGATGACAAATATGGTAAGGCGAAGAATAATAATTTGTGAATATCATAACTTCCCAATAAATCCGGATGACGGGTACTTTTTTATTTGAATTTTTCTAAAAGTTCAAACTTTTGTATTCTTAAAACCTGCTTATAATAAGCAATTTCTAATTGTGTAAGCTATTTTTCATGCGTTCATTAACATGGTTATAGCCATCGAAAATGGCTATTTTCAGTTCCTACACTCCTGTTATCGAATAAATGTTTAATAGCAATATAGAAAGCACACTGACTCGAATAAGAAATTTAATATCAAAAAGGGAATATTAAACCAAATTAGTTATGCGCAAAGCTTTACTACTTTATCGCCAATTTGGCAAGATAGCTTGTCATGTCAACTGAATGACGGCTGTGTCAAAGGTTTGTCGCGATTTCTCCATTCTTGTCTTATTCACATCCACTCACATCACTACTTGTCTTTATTTATGCATCCACTGTCTCCACTTTGTTTACCTCTGATGCTTTTTGCATAAATACTGCATTAATTGCATATATATATATAAGCCTTGTTCTATGATTAATCGTTTACTTGGTGATTCCTAGCTGAATATGGCTTCATCGTTAGAAAATTTGGAGACTCAATTAGAAATGTTTATTGAAAATGTTCGTCAGATGGATATAATAGTTAGCGATTTTCAACCACAAAGCCAGAACGTGCTTAACCAAAAATTGTAAGAACATATATATTAAGCAGTTATGAACACAAGAACACAATATTACTGACTCGTTGAAATCATCTTTTGTTCCTAAATTTCAGGCAGGCAATGGTACATGGATTACAGGAGATTGATAAACTGAAAACCCAAGTTCAAGATGTACATGTTCCACTAGAAGTATTTGAGTAAGTAAAATATAGTTACTGATTGATAAGTTAATGTATTTTTTTGCAAATTCTGTAGTTATATTGACCAGGGTCGCAATCCCCAACTATATACTAAGGATTGCATTGAAAAAGCTTTGGCCAAAAATGAACAAGTTAAAGGAAAAATCGATGCTTACCGCAAATTTAAAGCAAACATGTTAGTGGAATTGGGGAAAACCTTTCCTAACGAGTTGAGTAAATATAGAGCCTTACGGGGAGATGAAGGGAGACGTGGAGATTAATGTGATTTTAGGATAATGCCCTAATTATCATAGGTTAATTTACAATTTAAGTTTAACTTTAATTTAAGTCTTAACTTCGAGAAATATTGTGCTGTTTATTGCGATAGGATGGTTTATAAAGCAGAAATTCAAGATCTCATCAATTTAAAAAACGGCATTACCAAATTAACTGTTATTTATCAACAGATATAAATGTAATTCATTGTAACTTTCGAGAAAACTATGTAGGACTACCTACAGAAATTAATTAGTATACATATGAAATGCAAGTGCTTGTGTCGTTTGAGTCCCTCCAGGTTTTTTTTACCTTAAAGAACACTTCACAAAAAATCCCTAGATGATCCATAAATTAAGCCAAAAAACTCTTATAAAGTTGTGCGATCCGTTTTTCCAAAACCACCTATTTATACACGAAAATGAGATTGTTCGGTGCTATTTGCTGCTACCTCGTGTTTTAGATATCAACAATTCATAACTCCACATGCAAAATTGTCGCTAAGATGCAAATATTTGTGTTTTTCGTAAAAGTTTGAGCATCTTTTCTAACGACCGCGAGTGATTGAGGTTGTCCAGCGCGTCGATAGTCAGATGCGTATACTTTTGTAAAACTATATGGTCAGATGGCGGATTATCTGTTTCTTTCGAACAGCGATGACAACTTTTTAATAGCAAATTTTCGTATATCGCTGCTGAAAAATCCGTAGGCAAATTGCGCAGGCGCACTGTACTGTGAAGAGGCAATTAATGCCATTACAATTAAGATAATGGTACAAGACCAGCTATCAAAACAATAATATTAGGTAATCAGATTATTTATTCACATGTTATTTACTCAAATACTACTACTTTAATTAATCTCTCATAAGTATTATTATTATTATTATAATTATCATAAGCAGAGTATCAAGAGCACGGTTTTAGTGGGTCATCAACAAAAATACATAAATTGAAAGATTAATGTCTAGACCCCACTCAAAACTACTATGCAACTACGGTTGGGATGACTTGAGGGATTAATAAACTAGTGCTTCAGAAAAATGAATTGACAGAAAACAATAATTATTTTAATGTTCATACACAGTACAGGTTCCAAGTATCTTTGCCAAGCCACAGAGCTAGTTTATTTATGTACATAATTTATGTGTAATTCAAATAAAAGATGAAGTAAGCGAACGTTTCAGAATACATCGCTTTACCTTACATGGCACATAATTTGATTTTGTCATTTACATTAAAATTGAATGAGGACAATAATTGGATTCGTGTTCCTTATATTGTCTTCTACTTAACACCATAAAAAATACAAACTCTACGTTACTAGGGTTTGGTCTCTGATACAGAGAAACGTATCGCAGTAGGGCACTCAATTATCTCTGAAACATAAAGAAACATCGTCATCGTCATATGAAAAGTCCAGAAAGGTAATTTTTCCAGGGACAAAGAAAAATACTTTAAAACTAAAAATACGTTTGCCTCTATGATTTATTCTGCTTAAATATCGTATTTAAGCTGTCACTAAAAATGTTACAAGGAAACCTGAAAAAAATGGGGTATTAGATAAACCCATGCACATAAGCAAATTTCACTCGATATGCCACTCATTCTGGATTTACGCAATTTTAGTTTTTTAAAATACTACAGTAAAGTCCGCTTATAGTAACTTTCGGTTAAAACGAACTTCTTCCTTTAATTGAAACGTCGTCCATAAAGACCAACGTATTTTTTTACTGGTTATAACGAACTTCCACGCTCAGCAACACGAATCGTGCCGAGTTTTTATATTAGTGAGAGCGAGAGACAGGCAGTGACTTGTTGTTTTTTGCCGCGTTATGTATGTAAATCGTTTTAGAATGGAAAAACAAAAACGCTAAACGCTTCACTAAATGAAAAGTACGAGATTATTAACAAAATAAAAAGTGGAGTAAAGCAGAGTGACATTTGTAAGGAATTAGCACTTGGAAAGTCTACTGTAGCAACAATATGGAAAAACAGAGAAAACATTTTATCAGCGTATGACAAAACAAATGTTAGATGTAGGAAGTTAAAATTGTCTGCACATGAAAAGGTTGACAAGGGACTTATTAAGTGGTTTACCCAAAAAAGACAAGAAAACGTTCCCATAAGTGGCAGTGTTTTGCAAGAAAATGCTAGTGAAATGGGGAGTAAAATCAAAAACAAAGAGTTTGCTTGTT